AATAAGAAGTATTTTTTTGGCTGGAAGCAATGGCTTATGCATGTAATCCTAGCACTCTGGGAAGCCAGGGTAGGTAGATTGTTCGAGCTCAGGAGTTTGAGACTGCAAGGCTATATTTCTACTAGAAGTAGAAAAACTAAGCAGGCATTGTGGCAGGTGCCTATAGCCCCAGCTACTTGGGAAGCTGAGGCAAGATCTCTTGAGCCTAGGAGTTTTAAGGTTGCTATGAGCTATGATGTCATGGTACTCTAGCCTGGAGCAACAGAGTGAGATTCTGTCTCAAAAAAAAGTATTTTTTGCTATTATCTTATGTATTTCTATTATTTCTAATGTACCAAATGCTCTCATTGTATGCATAGAACCTTTAGAAATAAAAACAAATATTATTCAAAAAACCAATCAATCTGCAGTTTCAGTCTTCTGACTTCTGAATTAGGAGGCAGAAGTTGGGTACAAAAGACTGGTAAGTTTGGAAATTTAAAAATGAGATCTATCTGTATAAACCTGAAAGAAAGTATTATCACAATTTATTTGTTTTAAATATGGAAGGAAAGATGCCTAATCTTAGCATTCATAATAAAATGTGATTCCCTTTAGGAAAGAAGGCATTGTATTGGAAATGTCTTAAATTAAAATAGGTTTTCTATTTCCTTTGCATTTTTCCAGGGTGACTTATACACACACAAATACACACAAAATGGGATCATTTTTCATTAACATAAGACAGATTAGTCCATTTTATTTTACTTTCAACTTTTAAAAAATTCCATCAGATTTTGGCACATATATGAGTAAATATGTTATAGATATGCTCTTCAAAAATTAGCAGGAAGTGGCTCGGTGCCGGTAGCACAGTGGTTACAGCACCAGCCACATACACCAAGGCTGGCAGGTTTGAACCCAGCCCCAGCCAGCTAAACAACAATGGCAACTGCAATAAAAAATAGCCAAGCGTTGTGGCAGGTGCCTGTAGTCCCAGCTACTTAGGAGGCTGAGGCAAGAGAATCACTTAAGCCCAAGAGTTTGAGGTTGCTGTGAGCTGTGACAACATGGCACTCTACTGAGGATGACATAATGAGACTGTCTCAAAAAAAAAAAAAAATTAGCAGGAAGCCATCTTACTAGTCCATTTTGTGTTACTATAAAAGAATACCCGAGACGGGGTAATTTATGAAGAAGAGGGAAGTTCAAGAGCATGGCCTTTGCTTCTGGCAAGGGCTTTTGGGCTGTATCACAAAATGGTGGAGAAGGTTAAAGGGGAAGCAGATAAGGGCAAAGAGAGAGAAACCTGAGGGCTTTATAACCCTAGCTGCATAACAACACACTCATGGGAAGAGGGAGAATTCACTCACTTCCAAGCCATTCATGAAGGATCTACCTCCCCGATCCAAACATCTCTCACTAGGCCCCACTTTCTAACACCACTACAAAGGGGATCATATTTCAATATGAGCTCTCGTGGAGACAAACAAACCATGTTAAAGCCATTGCAGCCATTTTCATTTTAACAACATTTATTATAAATCATATTTTATAAACACTAGATAAATTATATACAAAAGCTAGACACAAATATACAGAAGCAAAACAAAAACAGCAATACTTATAATGCAAAAGAGATAAGCTAATATGTTTAAACATGTATAATTTAATAAAATTACTAATTTTTCATGAATTCAAAAGCTATTCAGAAATGAAATGTAGTATATTCTCATTACTATCAAATTTTAGAATCATAGAAACAACTACCATTAACATTACTTATTTTTAAAAATCCCTTCAAATGTTCAGGAGCCAAATGACTGTCCTTAAAGACAAATTAAACTTGGGTAAAAGCTTTTACATAATCGAATAACATAACATTTTAGGCTTTGGTTCACAGATATTAAATTTAGTATAAGATTTTAAGTTAACATCTTCCTTATATGTTATATTCCTGAGTTTTTGCCAAACACCACAGATACAAAAGAACTCAATTTATAGCTTTGTACAACATTGTATATTTTTTTGTATTTTATTTTTGAAAAACAAAATAGTATTGTGATTATTTCAAATATGAACAATGTTTAACAATGTAATCATAATAGGAAGGAGTATATTTAATTTAGCATAACTAAGGGAAAAATTAATGCCCTCTGACCACTGTTTGCAAAGATCATTTATAAATTATGATGAAAATTATATTAAACATGTCACGAATTTTTATTTGTACCTTATGAAATTATATTCATTTTGTAGTATAGAATGTTCTTATTAAAGAATTGGAATGATCTAATGCTAATGGTGCACAGGGCCAGGCACACAGTGAGTGCTCAATATTACTAATAAATTTAAAGTGAAAAGTCTTGACAGAGTGCTCATGCCTGTAATCCTAGCATTTTTGGAGGCCAAGGCTGGTGGATTGCTTAAGATTAGGAGTTTGAGACAAGCCTGAGCAAGAGTGAGAAACCCCATCTCTAAAAAAACTAGCCTGGCGTTGTAGCAAGTGCTTGTAGTCCCAGCTACTCAGGAGCAGAGGTAAGAGGATCACTAAAGTGCAAGAGTTGGAGGTTGCTGTGACCTGTGATGTCACAGCACTCTACTGAGGGCGACAAAGTGAGACTCTGTCTCAAAATAAGAAGAAAAGAAAAAAGTAAAAAATGAAGTGAAAGTCATTTAATGTATTTATTTATTTATTTATTGAGACTATGTCCCCCTTGGTAGAGTACTGGGGTGTCATAGCTCATAGCAACCTTAAACTCTTGGGCTTAAGCAATTCTCTTGCCTCAGTGTCCCAAGTAGCTGGGACTACTGGTGCCTGCCACAATGCCTGGCTGTTTTTTTTTTTGTTGCAGTTACCATGTTTCCCTGAACATAAGACACTGTCTTATATTTATTTTTTCTCAAGAAGACACACTAGGGCTTATTTTCAGGGGATGTCTTCCTCTCTGCGCCGAAACACACGGCGTGGCTATTATTATCACTAGGTCTTATTATCAGGGTAGGGCTTATAAATAACAAATGCATAGAAATCCTGCTAGGGCTTATTTTTTGGGTAGGTCTTATTTTTGGGGAAACACAGTATCATTGTTGTTTAGCTGGCCCAGGCCAGGTTCAAACCCACAAGCCTCAGTGTATGTGGCTGGTGGCATAACCACTGTGCTATGGGTACCGAGCCCATTTAATGCATTTATTTCTGCACATCAACATGTAATTCAAAATACATCCATGTAATTTAATGTAATAGTTATAAATTAACCTGAAAATATTCAAAAATATTTAAAACATTAAAATACATTTTTAGTAACAATCATAAAAAGAATTTTCACAAGTAGCTATTTTCAGTCTTAGTTTTACCAAAGTACAACTGAAATTCAGCTTCCTTTTAGAAATAGGCCTATGCAAGCTGATTTCCTTATTATCTGCTCTATGTGCAATGGATGGCAGATCCACTACCTTCATACACAATCAACTTGTTAATACCTCCTGAAGACTGAATCTGTGCATCTAAGGATGCAATAATCCAATAATGTGGATTTTTAAACAAGTAGCTTTCTTCTGCCTCCTGCTAAATTATGATCAGGTATTATTTGGAAATAATACTTTAAAGCAACTAAAATAATTTTATCATTACTGAAAGCAACTGAAATAATTTTATCATTAGTGAACATTACTTGATGTGAATTGGATATCTAATGAAAATCTATTGTATCAAACATTTTAATAATGTACATAGCTTATCATCATGCTTAAGTATTTCTTACCTGAAAGTCACAAGGTATTCTCCTAATTCTTTTGATAGCCCACAAGAGCTGACAAAACAGTTATCATCACCTTTTTAAAAACTGCTGGTGATTGAGATTCTATAGTTTTAGTGTTGCTTATACCTTTTCTCATCAAAAAGCAGAAGGGTCATCTAGAAGTTCTATTAAAAAAACTAAAACTAAACAATGTGGAATTTACTCAAATAATCATACTACTTATGAAGTAGTTTTTAAACAGCTATATCAACATCAGTTAGAATTACTTGCAAAGCTTCTTTCTTTCTTTTTTTCTTTTTCTTTTTGAGACAGAGTCTCACTTTGTCACCCTCTGTAAAGTGCTATGCCTTCACAGCTCACAGCAACCTTAAACTTTTGGGCTTAAGTGATTTTCTTGCCTCAGCCTCCCAAGTAGCTGGGACTACAGGCCCCCACCACAACATCTGGCTGTTTAGCTGGGCCCAGGCTGAGTCTGAACCCACCAGCATTGGTGCATGTGGCCGGCACCATAACCACTGTGCTACAGGTGCTGAGCTGCAAAGCCTAGTTCTTTAAACAATTTAGTTTACAAAGTATTTTGTCAACTTCATGTATAAAATCTCATTTGTCATATAATGCAACTAGGAAGCAATTATTTAACTGGATATGTATTCACGAAAAGAATGTGTATAGGTTTATTCTAATTGATCAACTAGTAATAAATATCTCTAAATTTAAAAATATGAAGTAAGTGACTTAATATATTTTCTTTTTTTTTTTTTTTGATACAGAGTCTCACTATGTTACCCTCGGTAGAGTGCTGTAGCCTCACAGCTCACAGCAACCCCAAACTCTTAGGCTCAAGCGATTCTCTTGCCTCAGCCTCCCAAGTAGCTGGGACTACAGGCACCTGCCACAATGCCCGACTATTTTTTGTTGCAGTTTTCATTGTTGTTTAGATGGCCCAGGCGGGGTTCAAACCCACCAGCCTCGGTGTATGTGGCTGGTGCCATAACCACTGTGCTACCAGCACTGAGCCAGACTTAATATATTTTCAAACAAATATAACGGGGCACTGAGGAATGTTTAAATTATTAGAGATTTGAAATAACATTTAAATAGGATTAAAATCATAAACTGTTAGCCACTTCTATTTTCTAATAAGAGTATCATATACAGAAAAACAAAATTATTCAAGTTTACTGAAGTGGATTAAATAAGCTCATTAAAAATACTTAATTTAAAATGAACTATTAAACCTCAAGTAAGTGATGCAGTATCCAATGATTTTTTTGAAAACAAACTTTTACCAATTTAACATTTATAAAAATCACTGCCAATATACAAAAGTATTTTGTCAAATTTTATGTCCACATTTTAAGAAGGGGCTAATACCAAGTCCTTGGTTCCATACTGTACTTCACATTCCCATCCGTATATCAGCAAAGTTGTAGAAGTTGTCTACATCTGTAGATGCTGTCTCCTTGCTTTCTGATATAAACATCTATTTTAAATAGAAAATGAACAAAATTATAAATACTAGTGATGCCAGAATGCCAAAGCCCATGTTCTCCACAGAACAAAGCCACAAGATTATTATTTAAAAGAAATTCACGTACATCACTTATAATATTTAATCTGTAGATTTTCTTTAGAATCCATGCAATACAATTTCAATAGCTATAATGTAAATTAAGCTTTTAAAAAAGCACTTCTGGTATGATTAAGGTCTCTGTTTTTGTAATACTTCAGCTGCATTTTATTACACCAAAATCTTATTGTTTAAGGTACAACACTCAATATTATGAAAGCTACTGGATGAGAAATTTCATTTAAGGAACTCTTAGTTTTTTCTATTTTCTTTTCTATTTTTTTTTTTTTTTGAGACAGAGCCTCAAGCTTTCCCCCTGAGTAGAGTGCCGTGACATCACAGCTCACAGCAACCTCCAACTCTTGGGCTTAAGCGAGTCTACTGCCTCAGCCTCCCAAGTAGCTGGGACCATAGGC